TTCAGTGAGGGAGGCAGGATCCCAGTGCAGAGGCCCCACCAGACCTCCTCCCTGCAGCTCGTCTGCCCCAGGCAGAGAAGCTGCTCCTCAGCCATTCATTCCATCGCAAAGGCCACTGCGGAGGGGGAGTGTGCTCAGTGTGAGGGAGTGAAGGAACATAACCTGGCTCCACTGCTGAGTGAGCTCCATGCTAGCATCACACTGGACAAGGACCGTGTAAAGTAAAAGGCCCAGGTGCGGGCCCAGGAGAAGCTGACAGTTCCCGCCCTGTCTCCCTGTTACAGGTATTGGAGACTCAAAACCAGTCATCACAGTGGGTGACCTATAAAAAGTGAGTTCCGTTTTATTTTTAAAACAGACAGAAACTGCCAATCCTGGTAACTTACAGAGGCAGACCTATCTTACCTTTCCAAATGCGATGTGTAACATTTAATGAGATTCTGAATTAGAAAAACAAAACAACTATAAACTACATTTTGAAACCCCTGGGGACACCTGAATATTAATGTTATCATTGTTCAGTATAATAATAGTGTTTGGTTATATAACAGTCCTTTCTTAGTCTTAGGAAAGGCAGGCTGCAACACTTCAAGTTCACCTTGTTATTTTGAAATGGCTCAGCAAGGAAAGATGGGTGTGCATCTGCGAGGGAGAATGGAGAGCTGGAGACACATGTGGCAGGAGGCTGTGGGAGGGAAGATCTTAAGGAGGCGAGGTAAAAAGGTGCATTTCAGTGCTTCTCAAATCTCCTACAGCTTAAATATTTCCAGAATAAGAAGCTGAAGAGAAAAGAGCACTGGAAATGCTAGACACTGTGTCCACAGTGGTGCATACCCAAGCAAAAAGCCTCAATAGTCCCCTGGTCTCCAAGCCTCCAGTAGAAGAGGCAAGAAACCATGGTTAGGAATGAGGGAACTTGCCACCAATTTGTGTGCAAACAAAAAGTTTCTAAACTGTTAAATAAAAAAGATCATAATCCTCTGGACTTGTTTTATTTGATTCTTGTAGACATGCTAAAGGGTGGTATTCTTTGAGGAGTTATTTTTAAAAGAGAGTTTTATTTTAACTACTGAAGGAGAAGAAGACAGGAAGTTGAGCTGTTTTTTTAAATGTGAAAATACTGGAGAACAGAGTAGGGGCTATGTTGTACAAAATCCCCAATATAATTCCGAATACTATAGGGAGGTCCTAGAGTAACAATTATTTTTAAATTGGCTAATGCTTTAAATCATTAGCATTGTATTTGTACAATATTTTCTACAATCAAATATATATATCCTATCTAATAATAGACAAACGGGGTAATTGACCATACCTTCGCTACGCCTCCCATTGGCTAATCAGTATGATATGCAAATTAACCACCAACAAAGATGGTGGTTAATTTGCATACATAGGCTCCAAGTGGTGGAGCGAAGACTGAAGGCGAGCCAGAGCCGTGAAGATGGAAGATGGAAGGCAGCTCCGGCCAAGGCCGCAAAGACGGAGGACGTATATATATATATATATATATATATATATGCGCACACACAAGTACTGGTTTAAGTATATGATAGTCAATTACATTCCATTTTTAAATTATATCTGATATAATAGTATTTAAAGAAGTACACTTGGTTTTAATGTTTCTACTTTCCTTTACACCTTCCTCTTCATTAACTATGCACTTTTAATAGTCATTTGACAGCAGACAATTTCCTTCTCAGTATAAACTAAATGCAGAATACTAATCTAAAAGCTGCATTTAGTCATGGTCCATTAGTGCTCACGTTCACTGGGAATATTACTGCCTCTTCTAAACAATCATTTTATAATTCAACTTGTTTTATTTTAAGAAATTTATAAATTATACCTTAAGAATAATCACATTTCATTCAGGCTCAATTTCAAGTAAACAAACAAAAAAACCTCAATGCTAGGTTTTGATCAGTTGTTTCCCCGTAACGGCTGTCACAAAGGACAGAGTGGGAACAGTGCACCCCTGGAGCGCCAGGTTCACTCCTCTGTGTTTAATAAATAGACAGTCATAGGGAGGTTCCACTTCATTTAGATTAATGTGAAAACATTTTGAATTTTAAGATAAATTTATTTAACAACAAAAAAAATATAGCCCGGCTGGCGTGGCTCAGTGGTTGAGCAGTGACCTATAGACCAGGAGGTCACAGTTCGGTTCCCAGTCAGGACACATGCCCAGGCTACGGGCTCAAACCCCAGTGTGGGGCGTGCAGGAGGCGGCAGATCAATGATTCTCTCTCATCACTACTGATGTCTCCCTTTCTCTCTCCCCCTCTCCCTTCCTCTCTGAAATCAATAAAAATAAATTAAAAAAATTTTTAAATAACAGTATTCATGAGAATACACAGTCCAAATTCAATCAAATTTATAAAAGGTGTGTTCTGATGCATGGCTCCACTACTGAGGAGGACCCTAAAGAACTTAAGCACATTGGGAAAAACATGCCGATTTCCAGACCTCGCATGGCTAGCTCATAACAGATGAAAGGAGCCCCAGCCAATCTGCTGCAGTGATTAGAGTGTCAGCCCGCGGACTGAAGGGTTGGTTAAGGTCAAGGGCGCACAGGCTCGATTCGGGCCCTGGTCAGGGCGCATGCGAGAGGTAACCAGTTGATGTGACTCTCTTGCATCAATATTTCTCTCTCTCCCCCTCTGTTCCATTCTCTCTAAAAACATCAATGGAAAAAAATCCTTGGGTGAGGATTAACAAAAAAAACAAACAAAGATGAAAGGAGCTAAAGCTATCACCCTCATTTCTGTAGTACAATCAATTAAGCTTTTTTCATCTAACCAAACCCAACAGTACTCTTGCACAACTGTTCCACCTTCCAGTGGTTTTAAAACAAAACATTTCACATTCAGAACCTGGTAAATATCCAAATGACCAAGTTCATCTTTCTCCCACCCCCTATCTCTGCCATATACTAAGTCCCCGTCCAAAAAAATTTACTTAAGCTACTGTATTAATAAAAACTACTGTATTAGTTTCCCACAGCTGCTACGGCAAATTATCACAAACTTGGTGGCTTAAAACAATGGGAATGTAAGGCTCACAGTTTTGCAGGCTAGAGTCTAGTACCTAGACATTGGCAGGCCTAATTCCGGCTGGCGTGCTGAGGAAGAGCCCCCTGGCTTCCGGTGACACCAGCACCCTTGGCCTTCCCCGACTTGTAAATGCATCTCCCAGTCTCTGCCTTTGTCCTGGTGTGGTGTTCTCTCTGTTTCTCCTCTTTTGTCTGAGTGTCCTCTTACTATAAGACACTTGTCATTGGATTTAAGCTTCATTCAGATAATCCAGGATGATCTCATTTTAATATCCTTAACCTAATAACATCTACACCAACTTTTTTCCCAAATAAGGTCATATTCCCAGATTTTACAATGACATGTCTTTGGGAGCGGGGGATCATCACTCTCTTCCTTGGATTAGTTGTATCCTCATCCTATATAATAAAAGCCTAATATTCAAATTGTCCCCCAGGCAGTCGTTCAACTGAGAGACCAGGAGTTCGACCACTCGCCATGACTTGTGCTGACCACCAAGGAGCAGCATGGAACATGGCAGGCATCAGCGACGCAGCACTGGCAGCGGGCAGCAGTGGAGGCACTGCCACCCCGATGGCCCTGATGAGAGCTGGACTGCAGTGGGATGGTGGAGCAGGTGAGCGGGGGTGCCAGGCCAAGGTGGGTGCAGGTGGGGGCCCAATCGCCCCACTGATCGTCCCACAGATGGCGACCAGTGGCGGCGGCAGGGGGTGGGGCCGCCGCCAGCTCCCAGGCGCTGAGGGAGCCAGGCAGGGGGCCCAGCCCTGATCAATCACCCTGTAGGCAGGATGGTGGAACAGGTGAGGGGGCAGCACCAGGTCAAGGTGCGGTGCCAGGCTGGGCTGCAGGGCTATGAGGCAGAGGGCATGAGCTGGGGCTGTAAGGCTGGGGGCGCGAACTGGGGCCCAATCTCTGCAGGCCATTCCAAGGGACCCCACCCATGCACGAATTCATGCACTGGACCTCTAGTCACTAATAAATACTTAAATCTTAAAAGAATTTATGAAACATCATGCTTTCTTTCTAAACCTTGTTTTTATTTCACATATTAGTTATCTGGTAATTCTTTTCAATTATATATATTCTTATAAATCTTTTTGTTTTAATTAATCACTGTGAAAATCTTGATATGATAGAAATTAAATGTTTTACCTACAAGCATAGCATGTGTACGGATTACTGAAGTAGAAGCCTTAGTGGGCTGCACACATTGATCCGGGCAGTCTTCAGTCTCAATGAGTTATGTCTTAATTTCTACCTATACACCCTATACAACCTAATCAGGATAAATACTCTTATAATGATATGGCTAATCACACAATTTAACCTATTCAGGTACAACATGCCTGAAGTGCTCAATACTGCCATTAATTTCTTACATTATTACTATGATTTCATCATATACTAGTAAGATATCAATGTGCACATCATCAAATGAAGTCTACTTTTTAAATTAACAACTTCACAAAATGTGAATATCTCCAAATTCTCTACATCAGACAAAGAAACACACATTTCAGACTTAGATTTCACTATCAACGCTAGGAAACTGCTTCCCCCGTGAGGCTCCCACAAGCAGCAGCTGTCCTTTCTGCAGCAACAGAACCAGCACGCGGCTGCCCACCCCCCAAGCTCTGTCCGGGCAGAGCCACCAGAAACCTGGTGCGGCGGGGTGGGTGCGGGCAGCTCTCTGATCTTCCAAGAGTAAGGTGATGGCCAATCATTTGAAACTGAAGGAAACCATCTGGAAAAGCCTGGAGAGAGCACAGGACAGACACAGCGCCCCCCGCACCCCACAGAGCAGAGAGTGACGAGGAAGGACCCGACTGCAGAGCCAGGACGGCGTTAGACTCTCCCCCAGAATGAGGCCTTTCAGGGATGACCTCTGGGCCGTAGGCCCTTTTTTAAGAACAAATCAAGATGGGCGGGAACAATTCATACCTCCACCGGGAATAATTGCCAACTTTGTCTCAACCAGGCCCATTTTGGCAGAGGAAGCTGAAAAGGAAGGAATAAAATTAAGTAACATCCACATAATCATATTCATTGACGATGACTTTAAAAAGTCAATAAACATGCTATAAATACAGTAATCCCCTTTACCCACAATTTCTCTGCCCATAGTTTCAGTTACCTGAAGACAAATGCTGTCCGAAAATATTAAATGGGAAATTGCAGAAATAAACAATTCCTGTTTTAAAATGGCATTTGTGCTGAGGAGTGTGAGACCTCTCTGTCCTGCTGCACCCACCTGGGCTGTGACTCCTCCCACTGCAGTGTCTCAGGCCACCCATGTGCCTGCTCATCAGTCACTCAGCAGCCAGGAGGCCCTCAGAGTGAGTGCTCAAGGCACCCCCTTCTTTTACGTAGAAACAGCCCAAGTGCGGGAGTAGTGATGCTCGCAATGGGATGCCGGAGAAGCCGCAGTGCTTCCTTTCAGTGAGGAGTGTGTGTAAAGGGGAAACATGGTCTGACACAGGGCTCAGTACCACCCAAGCTTCCGGGCCTTCCCTGGGGTCTTGGAATGTAGATCCCTGGAATAAGGGAGAACAACTGTATTCTGTTTACTAATTAAATGTGTCACGAGTCCTTTTATCACTTCAGAGGCATTTGGTTATGAAAATAAATAACACTCTAAACTATATACAGGGTAGGGCAAAAGCAGTTTTACAACTGTATGTGAAACAGTTTATTCTGATATGATTATTTATTATGTTGCTTTCCATACAAACAACTGTAAACCTACTTTTGCCCCACACTGTACATTAAGAGACTCAAGCATTTTCTGCTAGAAGCTGCTTGGCAGAGAGTAATTTTTGATGCCGAAAGACCAAAGTGGTAACTATTGGTACACAATGTGGCCTGACGCTGCCGAGCCATCTGAAGGCGTGGCTCCGGTCATCACCTGGGATGAAGAGAGAGGCTGTGCCGACGGGTTCCCTTCAGCGGGGACAGTTCTCCAGGTCAGGCCGCTTCATGTATCCTGCGGACACAGCACTTTTCCAGGCCAGGGGGTTTTACTCTCCTGCACTGGACAGGGTGCCTTTCCGTGTTTGTTTTAGGGCTACTTTCAAACACCCTGACTGTCCCTTTACCTGCACCTCCAAAAGCACTGGGACACGTCCCAGATCCTAGTTCCCAAAAGCTGCATTCTTTCAGAAATGGGTTTCATGCGCCTTAGCTGAGCCACTTCATTTCAGACAAGAGAGAGATCCAAAATAAAGAGGAAAGGGGAAAGGTATGCATGGACTAGCAACTGCAAATCCCAAGAAAGTTACCATAAAATTCTGAAAAACACAATTCACGGACTCTATGTTTACCAGGCAGCTCCACCAGAAGGAGCAGTGGGACCTGGGAGAAAAGTGAACTACTTTCTGCTGCTTCCTCCAGTCCCTGGTCCCGGAGCCTTCAGGTCACCGTGCTGAGGGAGCAAGGACCAGCTCTGCCATCTGTCAGGAGGCTGTCGGGGACAGGGCCCGGTGCAGTGCTCTGGCAGGCTGGCAGGCCTGGGGGCTGACACCAGACTCAGTCACTGATCTGGGGCCGGTTACTCCACCTCTCCGCCGGCTGCCCCAAGCTGCACGGAGTACTCATCCCATCAGGCTGTTGCAAAGATGAAGCGAGTCCCCACACGCCAAGCGCCGAGAGTGAAGCTGGGCGCCAAGTCAGCACTCAGCACCTGGCTGGCTCTAATAGTTTTCATGGTCACTGCATCCCGTCCTCAGGAAGCCCCTGAGTTATTATTTCTGTAGCGAACAGTAACTAAGAGCATGGACTGGACACATGCCACAGAGAAACTCACTCCATCTCCACAACTGCCACCGTGACTTCCCCCAATTCAGAGGAGGAAACTAGTCAAAAGGGCAGGACCTAAGGTTCACATTCAGTTGTGTCTGACCCAGTTCATGTTCTCCGGTACTGCTGATGAGCGTGAACAAGAGACTATAGACAACGGTTTTCTTCACTGGAATCTGAAGCACTTCATTAAGTCCAACAGGTGATTTTTTTTTCTAAATATTCTACTCAACAACAGGAAAAGAATAAAATGTTTGGAATTTTCTGGAGACTAAGAAAAAACACACCTCATTTTAAAAATGTTATATTAATAGGATGATTCTCACCTGCCACTCGTATGTCACATGCTAATGCCAGTTCCAGACCACCACCTAAAGCGAGTCCGTCCAGGGCAGCGATTGTCGGCACTGGCAGGTTCGCTGCAATAGAAAGAAGGGTGTCATGCCTCTTTAGTAAGTTACCTTACTGTGTAACTGATCTTAGATTTTCTCCTGTAAATATATTTTTAAATCGGCTATTGCATATAGAATTTTGTGTCCCTTTTGCCTTTAACAAAATACCATTTCCTTCATTGTTGTCCCATCATATAAATATGCAATAGTACCTTTAAATCTTCCCATATTATTGAGATACTTTCATAAATACTTTTTGTTGAATCAACAAATTCAGACAGATTTCAAGTCTAAATGACTTAGTCCATGACCCTCCATGGGCTCCCTTGTGCTGAGGACGACCCTCTCATTGGAAGAAGTAACCATCTCCTCCAACAAGACAGAAGCAGCCCGCGTGGCTCGGGGGCATCAACACACTCGCTCTGTCCTTAGTCACCAGCACAATGAGCAGCCGCTGGGAGGTCACCAGGCTCCACCTCATGCCGCACCTCAGATGGACGAAGCTCTGAGAAAGCTCCGGGAGCCGACCCACAAGCATGATGGGGAAAAGGTCAGCCAGTCACAGAACACAAACCAGACTCTCCTGAGTGCAGAAACAGCACGGTACTGACTGAGACCATTGTACAGTTAAATACTCAGATTTCATTTCCATAACTGAATGTGGTGTCTGACGTGGGAATGTGAGCTGGGCGACCTGGCGAGGCACGGAAAAGGAAAGCTGCTCACTTCTAGACAAGACGCCACCAGCGCCAGCACCTCAAGGAAACTGACCCCGGAATATTTCCTTTTCAAGCTTAAACCTTTGCTCATGACCCCAGAGCAAAAGACACTGACACTTGCTACCAAGATTCATAAAAGCATTCTATTTTTCAATGCAAAGCTTCACATTTCCATAGTCAAAAATAACATAGGAAGGGCTCTGCTTCTTAGGACGTGGCGTTAAGAGGCACCGTCTCAACTGTCCTCACCACAGAAGAGAGCCATGTGACCTGACAGAGGTGTCAGCTAAGCTGTGGTGGTCATCACACTGCAATATTTAAATATAGCAACTCAACAAATAGACACCTTCAGCTTATAGAATGTTATATGTCCATTAATACCTCAAGTAAAAAGTAAAATAAAAGTAGGTAAAATAAAAAGGTACCATCCCTAAAAATCTCTCTCCCACAGGCATGTGAAATTCCACAGACCAAAAGGCTCATCCCTCGAGCCCTTGAAAACATACAAATGTGCTGAAGTGCAGAGACTTCAGTCCTCAGGCTTCTTCTAGGAGCAAAGCCTGCGGAGCTGGGGGCAGCATGCCCGGCCTGGCACAGCACGGCCCTGTCTGCACCCTCACAGCACAGCAGGGCCGTGGGGCCTGAACGGGCAGCTCAGAACCCCCGGGGCTCCCTCCCTGTGATGTGCTTTAGACCTCGGTGAAGAAGTGAACAGAAAGCCAGGTTTACAGAGTATAATGAAAAAACACAACAATGTCTTGGTTCATTTATCTGACAAAAAGGAAGAAAAATCAATAAACAAATATAATGGCAACTTAATCTGAGTGGCTCCCAAGGTCATCTCCAGTCACTACAAATAAAATGGTATCACTTTGTTCCAGCTCTCACCAGACTCCTTCCACACTACGACCTCCCCAATCTCATCTCTCCCCTCAAAACCCGCCCCTAGGCCTCGCTGTGGCCTCAGCTCGTCTACCTCTAAGCTTCTGGGCCCACTCCCACTTACCTCCCCTCAGAGCTCTAGTCCCACTGCAACTCCTGATACTGTGCTTGCTCCGCTTACCAGTGACACCATGAGACTGTCTCATAACCGATGGGCATCACCTGGTCCCCAGTAAACTGAAGATCAGAGACATTCGCCTTGGAAACTCCTCCTTGAACACACTCTTCATCTGCCTGCTAGGGCCCTCCCCCGTCTTTCCTGCCTTCCCATCTCCCTCTGGTTAGGTCTCAGCCTTCTTCCCCTCTCAATAGGACTCTACCAGGAGGTCTCATTCCCACCCTAACTTTTACCCCCTATTTAAATGCCAACAATGTCCCAATTTCTACCCAAACGTCTCTCTAAACTGAATCTCCATGGCCACCTGCTTATAAGACATCTCCACTGAAAAGCTTTATCATGCTCAAACCAACTTCTTACCAACCCTTCTTCTCTAGAGTCTATATCACATTTGGTAGCACCTCCATCCATGTTACCCAAGCAGGCACCCTGAAGTCCTCCCAGTGACCTCCTTCCCAATGCCTTGCACTCTACTGCTCTCTGAGTCCTGTCTACCAGCTCACACATCTGCAGTCCCCCTCCCTTTCCAAAGCCAGGGTCCCAGGTACCTCATTTCTCACCAGCAGAAAGTCTCAAATTGAACTTCCTGCAATTTTCCCCTTCATATTTCCTGCCAGATAATCTTCCTAAAGAGCAAACATAGTTATGTTATCCCACTATTGAAAACTGAAAACTGACCGGGCCAGTGTGACTCAGTGGTTGAGTGTTGACCTATGAACAGGTCACGGTTTGATTAAAGGCCAGGGCACATGCCTGGGTTACAGGCTCCATCCCCAGCAGGGGGCATGCAGGAGGCAGCCATCATCATTGATCTTTCTCTCTCTCCCTTCCTCTCTGAGATCAATAAAAATACATTAAAAACAAAACAAAACAAAACCTGTACAATGATTTATTCCACATTGAGGATAAAAAAGGGAGAAACCTCATAGCACAGCAAAGGAAGCACCTGATGAACTCAGTTCTGTCCACCTGCACAACCTCCTCTCCAAGCTCAGACACCTACTCTGTGCTTCAGCCCCAAACTACTTACAGCCCCCAGAAGGCATTTCCATCCACGGCTATGCACAAGCCGCGCTCTGCCTGGAATGCCTCACTAGCCCCTGCTGCCTTTCGAGGTATTGCTCCTCCAAGTCCCTCCTGTCCTGCTTCCATGGCACGCTGTGCACACTTCCTCTCAGCAGCCAGCTCACAGCCATTCTGAAACAAAGGCCAGTGACGTCACACCAATGGTGGTCAGCAGGGTGCTTCTTACCGCCGGGGACAAACCACAAGGTTTTTCACTGCTTCTGCTGTCTCCCTTATCCTGAACCTGGTATTCTCCCTACTTTTCTTTTTATTAATAACTTCTTTCACTTAATATTTTTTAAATGGCATGAATATCAGCAGGCTACAGAGCTGCGGAAAAGAAAGGCAGCATTCCTAAGCTTTCAGAGCAACAGGAGGGAAGGGCGGGTATTCTCTCCTTGCTGTGGGAAAATGCTGGCATGGGGAATGCTAACGGCACTCAAATATCTGTTGCAAGCTGACTCTTCTTAGAAAGAGAGATAACAAAAGTGAGTTTTAAAGGGCCCCCAAACGCAAACTCAGGCCTGAAATATGTGTACTACTAAGTTCCATTTCTGAAAATTCCAACTCATCTAATATAATAATAGAGGAATATGCAGGTTAGCCAGGACGCTGTAACATCACGACCCATCTACAAGGGGCAGAGAGCTACAGGAGGGCGGGGAAGAGAGCTACGAGCACAAGGATTCATGCACAGTGCTATTAGTAGTAAATAAATAGGAACAAATTGATGTGATATATATGGAAAGGGGATTTTTCTTCACATCGAATTGTGCACTGATAATAAAGACTAAGTAGAAGGGCTGAAGGAATAAATCGGCTGTAAATGACAAAAGTAATGTTCCATACCTTCCTAAGCCTTGAAGCACAACAGAAAGAACACGGGAAGTTTACAATTCTTGGTCATTTGCAATGTTCTTAACACTGCAACTCAGAGGGACAAACGCCTCAGAAAGAGTTGGCAAGGCTTCACTCTCCATTTTGATTAGTATTCTCAAATCAATATACTTACAAATATCAGTTAGCCGACAGAAAGTTTAAAATCTTATTCTAAAAAATATAGTCATTAAAACATTTTACTGTACATAAAAAACATAAATAAAATTAGTTAAATGCCCTCCCCCATCACTGTGAAAGTTACTATAAGCTAACCTTATGCTGATAAAACAAATGATGTGGAAGGTAGCAGGTTCTACATAACTTAGAGTGTGGGATTTACATGATGGAGTGATAGAAAATGAGTAGAAATAAATGCAAATATGCTGATCTGGGAAGTGAGGGGGCAGGAGTGACTGAAATGAGTCTTCTCATTGCTTAAGTGTTCTTAATTTTGAAATAAGAGAATATAACACTTTTTCCTCCACATACTTAAACTTTTGGAAGTAATAAAATTTTCAAGCTGCTGTAGGTCAGTGGTTAGAGCACAGGCCTGTGCACCTTGCAGGCTCGAATCCTGGTCAAGAGCACATACCTAGGTTGCAGGTTTGATCCTCAGCCCTGGTAGGGGTACATGCTAGAGGCAACTAATCGATGTATCTCTCTCACATTGATGTTTCTCTCTCCCCCCCTCTCTCTCTCCTGCCCCAACCTCCCACCCTCTCTAAAAATCAATGGGAAAATGTTTTTAAATTTGACAGTTAAGACCTTAAGAAATTTTCTCAAGAGGATAGAAGTTTTTAAAATTATAACTTATATGAAATACATAATACAAAATGACAAGAAATGTGGGGGTCCTTATAAAAAAAAGGAAATTAACACACTCAAATCATTAAATAAACTACGTGGTACTTTCAAATATTAACATAAATTAGCATTGTACAAATCATTAAATATATTTTTCCTCCTAAAGAATTATTTAATATTACAGCTTCGTATTCAATGAGCAATTGAATTTCAACCATTTTAAAAGATTATGAATACTAAAATTATACATAATCCTAATATATCTATGATTTTCTTTCTTTTTAAAAAATTAATTATTTAATTACAGTTGAAAGATGTTTTTCTTAGTAAATTTTTTTCAGGAAAATATGAGTCATCTCAAAACACGTTAGTTTCATAGTTAACAACTGGGTTTTACAGCTCGTATCTCTACCTGGGAGCATTTAATAATCTTAGTGAAAACTCAATAAAGCATACCGTTAGGAAGGCAGGTTATCAGTTTCAAAGAACTGAGAAATATCAAAATGGCAGTTGTATAGAAAAGAGTGGACCGAATGAAAGAGGGCCTGCCAGGAGCAAAGGCAATAGGAAGAAAGTGTGACTCAACGTTATGCAACCAACAGGATCAGATGCTATTTTTGACTGCAGTACTAGGAAGTAAGCCAGGTATGACAAAGAAGACAATAATCCTTTGAAATGCTCCTAAAAATATAAAGCAAATAATGAAAGTTTTGCTATTTTAAAAAGAAAATAAAAGAGGTACAAGGGGAGGCTCTGGTCTATTCAGGGGTTTGCAGGGCACCCACAGGGAAGATAGCTGGGGCCAGAAAACCATGAATGTGGGGAAAAGGAAAGACAGGGTCTGCTTTCAACTCTGAGGTAGAATACATAATGTAAGCTTTTGGATGTTTCTAAAAATATAAACAGGCTAATTGCTACAAAAAAAAAATGCTAGTGACAGTCATGATTTTTAAA